ATGAATTGTATTGGTTCCTGGTGAAGCATTCTCTTGATTTTAAATTCCCTATGGCCATAACTCTCCCTATTTCTATAAACTCTTTCAATATATCTGTACTCACCTCATTCTTGCCTCTTAAATTTGTGCATGCAAGCCTGATTAGCAGTTTTACCTTGTTCATTGAGCACTAAATTGCAACATTAGCATCTATATATTTCAACCCTCCATTGCATTGATCATGATTTTCAATCATTAAAGAAATTTGATCTACATCCAACATGGAAGACATACATTAAGGACTGACAAGACAGACTCATATGGGCACTGTCATAGAGATGTTCAGCACAGAAACAGACCCTTTAGCCCAACTCCTCCATACCAACTAGATATTCTCTGTTAATCTAGTCCCATTTGCCAGTATATGACCCATATCCCTCTATACCCTTCCTATTCATATACCCATCCAGATGCCTTTTAAATGTTGCAATTGTACCAGTCTCCAACCACCTCCTTTGGCAGCTCATTCCATACACGGACCACCTTCTGCGTGAATAAGTTGGTCCTTAGGTCTCTTTTAAATCTTTCCCCTCCCATCTAAACCAATGCCCTCTAGTTTTTGACTCCCCTGCTCTGGGGAAAAGACCTGTCTATTCACCCTTTCCATGCCCCTCATGATTTTATAAACTTCTATTAGATCACCCCGCAGCCTCCGATGCTCGGTGAAAGAGTTGTGTGAACCCAAGCATACTCTCGATCATCAGTAAAGTGATGGAAGGTGTCAGTAACAGCGCTATCAAGCAGCACCTGCTCAGCAATAACCTGTTCAGTGATGCCCAGTTTGGGTTCCGCCAGGGCCACTCAGCTCCTGACCTCGTTACAGCCTTGGTTCAAACACAGACAAACTTCCAGAGGTGAGGTGAGAGTGATAGCTCTTGACATCAAAGCCAAATTTGACCAAGTGTGGCATCAATGAGTCCTAGCAAAGCTGGAATCAGTGGGTAGCGGGGTCGGGCAACTCTCCGGTGGTTGGAGTCATACCTGACAAGTAGGAAGATGGTTGTGGTTGTAGGAGGTCAGTCATCTCAGGTCCAGGACATCTCTGCAGGAGTTCCTCAGGGTAGTGTCCTAGGCCCAAATATCTTCAACTGCTTTATCAATTACATTCCCTCCATCATAAGATGAGAAGTGGGGATATTTGCCAATGATTGCACAATGTTCAGCACCATTTGCGACTCCTTGGATACTGAAGCAACTCAAATGCAACAAGATCTGGACAACATCAGGCTTGGGCTGTAAACTGGCAAGTAATATTAATGCCACACAAATGCCAGGCAATGACCATCTCCAATAAGGGACAATCTAACAACCACCCTTTGACATTCAATAATGTTACCATCATTGAATCCCCCACATCAACATCCTTGGGGTTACCATTAACCAGAAACTCAACTGGATTCGCCATATAAACACAGTGGCTACAAGAGCAAGTCAGAGGCTGGGAATACTGCAGCGAGTAACTCATCTCCTGACTCCCCAGAGCCTGTCCACCATCTACAAGGCACAAGTCAGGAGTGTGATGGGATACTCCCCACTTGCCTGGATGAGTGCAGCCCCAATAACACTCAAAAAGCTTGACACCATCCAGGACAAAGCAGCCCACTTGATTGGCACTACATCCACAAGCATCCACTCCCTCCACCACCGACGCTCAGTAGCAGCAGCGTGTACTATCTACAATATGCACTGTAGAAATTCGCTAAAGATCTTCAGATTGCACCTTCCAAACCCACAACCACTTCCATCTAGAAGGACAGGAGTAGCAGATACATGGGAACACCACCCACTGCAAGTTCCCCTCCAAGCCTGAATTGGAAATATATTTCTTTGGTGTCGCTGGGTCAAAATCCTGGAATTCCCTCCCTAAGGGCATTGTGGTCAATCTATGGTACATGGAGTGCAGCGGTTCCATAAGGCTGCTCACCACCACCTTCTCAAGGGGCAACTAGGTACAGGCAATAAATGCTGGCCCTCCAGCAACACCCATGTCGCACAAATGAATTAAAAAAAAATACTGAGAGATTTACACGCAGCCTTTTTAAAAATCTGCAGTGAAACATAAACATTGAACAATCTAATTGAAAAGTTAAAGCAACAAAGTATCTTAGGAAGATCTGGTCCTTAAAACTATGTATGGTGAAGGAAGCTGGAAGAATGTAGGTAATGTCTGGGTTTGATAGGTAGCATGTGACCACATGGAACTAAAAAGTCAAATGGTTAGAGTGCATAAAGGAGAGAATTTATGCATGGAGCCAGAGGAAGTGGGGGCGGTCATAAATGAGTACTTCACATTGATCGTCACCAAGGGGAAGGACATGGATGATGGTTAGATTAGGGAGGGGGTTTCTTGATACTCTAAGGCAGGTTGATATTAAAAAGGTGTTGGGAAACTTGAAAAACACTAACGTAGGTAAGTCACCAGGGCCTGATGGACCTATCCCAGGATCCTGACGGAGGTAAAGGAGGAGATTGATGAGGACTTGACAGAGATCTTTGTAACCTCTTTATGCACAGGTGAAGTTCCAGAAAACTGGAGAATAGGCAATGTTGTTCCTTAGTTTACGAAGGACAACAAGGGGAAATCTATGAACTATAGGCCAGTGAGCCTTACGTCAGTGGTAGAAAATTATTGGAGAAGATTCTTAGGGATAGGGTTTACTTGCATTTGGAGAAGATTGAACTTATCAGGGATAGTCAGCTTACTTAATGCAGGGAGGTCTTGTCTCACAAACTTGAGCTTTTTGAGGAAGTGACGAAGACCATTGATGAGGGTAAGGCATTGGGTGTTGTCTACGTGGACTTTACTAAAGCATTTGACAAGGTCCCTCATGGTAGGCTGGTCCAGAAGATAAAATTGCATGGAATCCATGGTGAGTTGGCAAGTTGAACACAAAATTGGTTTGTTATGGAAGAGAGAGGGAAGTTTTGGAGGAGTATTTTTCTGACTGGCAGTCTGTGACCAATAGTGTTCCACAAAGATCAATGCTGGGCCCCCTGTTGTTTGTAATATATATAAATGATATATAAATGAAAATGTAGGTGGTCTGATTAATAAGTTTGCAGATGACACAAAAATTGGTGGAGTTGTTGATAGTGAAGAAGGTTATCAAAGTATACATCAGGATCTAGATCAGGTGGAAAGTTGGGCAGACAAATGGCAGATGGTGTTTAGCCTAAACAAGTGTGAGGTGATGTATTTTGGAAGGTCAAATGCAAGAGGAAAGTACAAATGGCTGGATCCGTAGGAGCGTTGATATACAGAGGGATCTTGGGGTGGAAGTCCATTGTTCCCTGAAAGTGGCAACTCCAGTAGTTTAAGGTGATAAAGAAGACATATGGCAAGTTGCCTTCAATGGTAGGTGCATTGAGTGTAAAAGTTGGCAAGTCATGTTGCAGCTTCATAAAACTTTAGTTAGGCCACATTTTGGAGTATTGTGTGCAGTTCTAGTCACCGCCTTATAGAAAGGATCTGGAGTGTTTGGAGAAGGTGAAACAGAGGTTTACCAGGATTTTCTGATGAAGAGTCACCAAACCTAAAATATTAACTCTGCTTTTTCTCCACAGATGCTGCCAGACCTGCTGAGCTTCTCCAGCAATTTCAGTTTTTGTTACCAGAATGTTGCCTGGATTGGAGTGTATTAGCTAGAAGGATTGGACAAACTTGGATTGTTTTCACTTGAACTTCAGAGTCTGAGGGGCAAGTATATAAAATTAGTGAGAGGCATAGACTGGGTGGATAATCAGAGTCTTTTTCCCAGGAAACATCAAATACTAGGGGTGTATTTTTAAGGTGAGAGGGGAAAAGTTTCAAGGACATGTTCTAAGAAAGTTTTTTTTACACAGATGGCCTGGAATGCGATGCCAAGGGAGATGGTAGAAACAGACATGAGAGCAAAGTTGAGGTATGTAGACAGACACAGGAACAGGCAGGGAATAGAGGGATATGGACCATGTGCAGGCAGATGGCATTAGTTTAAAATGGCATCATGATCGACACAGAAATGTTGGGCTGAAGGGCTTGTTCCTGTGCTGTACTGATCTATGTAAGTAACTCCCTCTCTGTAGAGCTGTATTGTCCTGTCTCTCAATGTGAAAGTGTGTGTTTGGGATTAAGAGAATATGTTTGAATTCCAAGTAGTAGCTTACTTGTTACTTAATACGTTTTATGCTTCTAACAAGCAAGTTATTTTTGAGTTAATTACAAATGTAACATTTATACTTTTGCCTTGCCTCATGGGCACTACCTCCATTAGAGTCAGAACAGACAATAACCACCAACCCCCTTCATCATTTAAATTATTCCATCACTTGTGAAACATATTCAATAAAAGGGAAGGCAGTGATGCCATAATGGTGATGTCACCGGTCTAGTAATCCAGAACTTCCAGGCAATGCTCTGGGCACATGAGTTCAAATCCTCACCATGGCAGATGGTGAAGTTTGAATTCAGCAATAATTTAGAGTTAAAAAGCCAGCCTAACTGTAACCACTGTCAAAATCCACTAATTCACTAATGTCCTTTAGGGACGGAAACTGCTGTCCTTACCCGGTCTGGCGCATGTGAATCCAGAGCCACAGCAATGTGGTTGTCTGTTAACTGCCCTCTGGGCAATTAGTGATGGGCAATAAATGCTGACTTAGCAAGTGATGCCAATGGCTAATGAATTTTAAAAAAAACTGATGTATTTTTCACAAAACAATTAGCAGTGGTGAGTTTATGTATGTCAACATATTTGTATCAATAAATCCACTGATATCTACAAACTACATTTTCCTCCTTATAAATATCAACACAACTGCTCAGTTTGAATTTATGATGTAGCCGTTCTCTATGACAGTGTTGATCAGCATTATAAGAAACATTTCATATTTTCTTCCTTTTGAAGGTTTACTTTTAGACCTAATTACAGAATGTTTAATGATTTATATGAAACAAAAACTAACAATCACACACAAAAGAATCATGCCCTACAGGTATATTTATTTTTGTTACCATTTTAAGTTGCAACATGTCACAAATAAACATGACTGAAATGTCATTATTTTCATAAAGTTAAGTAGCAAATCTTAAAATTAACTAAAAATATTGTAGCTGTAGGAAACAAGGAGTTAGTGTTTCAATGATTTAGTTTATTGCTCTTTCTTGTCTGGGACCCAGCTTAAACAGAATTCAAACTGAGTAATGAGAGCCTCATACCGCAGCCTGTGAGAATTCTATACAAGTAATTGAACAGCCCAACCCAGCTGATAGTCAGCGCAAAAAGAAATGATCATTAATTTGGCACAAATTCATAATCATTCAGAAATGCGCGAAGACTGACACATAAATGGCTGTGTCATTCTAAGGTGAGATTCAAGCTTCGCTGGAAGAACAGAGTGGCTCCCATTCTTGACGCTGACATTAGAACTTGTAAATTCTGTGGTGTTTGTCTTGGGTTTGCTGCCACAACTTCAGTGGGATACTGGCAGAAGACCTGGAGAAAGGGGATTAGTTGCCTACTTCAGCTATGTTTCTGAGGTTTTGAGTCCTCCTGCTAAAATTATGGCAGGAAGCTTGGAGAAGGACCACAGAATTTCAGGGTCTGGTGTCTGAAATGTGGAAATGTCCCATCAATGGATATCACAACAAAGCACAAAAATATCCAAAATACTAAAAATAGTTAACAGACAAGATTTTTGTAATTAAAATTTTAAAAAAGGCATAAGGAGAAGTACTAGTTTTTGACATTTAATTCTTAACTTTCTTTGGTTCTCAAGTTGAGGCACTGTTCTTTTTGAAGCTTTGAAGCAAATTTTTATGTTACCTTAGAATTATTTACCAATAAAACATACATCAGAATGTTCTAATGAACAATTTAATTATAAATTACTTTAGAAATCTTACTTTCTTGTCATTGCACCTTTACAGAGTTTGACTGTATTTTTCATTATTGGCGATGCATTGTTAAGTAAGAGAACAACTTTATTAACATGGCTAACCACAGATGATCTATGCTTAATTATTTTCAGAACCTAAATATGACTCTAACACAGTGAAGGAACTCAGTAACCTTCAAAAGTTTTACAATGATCAGGTAGATTTACAAAAGAACTGTAGATGTGCCTCACTGCAGCAAGCCGCTTGTTGGAATCTGGCTGCTGCTTAACTCCTGATGTTCCACAAATTAATGGTACATGTGATTTTCTGGTAAGTCATGTCTACCTTGGAGCTCCAGCTAGGGGCACAGGGCTGTCGAAAGTTTAATCCATTGCTTCTGAATAAGTTATTCATTTGGGTCCTGTTCTGCCTGATGCTTGGCAGCCAAAGCCAGGGCGAGGGCACTGGCAGTATTTCTGTTTACATTTGGAGAATAACTTCGTTGTTCTGTAGGAAAGAAAAATATTTCTATCAGCCGGTGTGACTAATGCTTTCATGGAAGTCATCAATACATAACCATTATAATGTTTGATCTTGTTCACTTTTCCCAGGATGTATAAGCAAGAGTAGTTCAGAATGCCTGCAGTGGAACCTACCCAAATCATTTTCCTTTCTTCTCCAATGCTAATTATCTAGCCTTTACAAATGAAACCAACGTGCACAAACAATGTTAAAAATGTAGCCTATTTGGAAACCAGAGGCAACAGATAGAACTGAGTCCTGAAGAAGGGTCATTGGACCCACAGATGCTGCCAGACCTGCTGAGTTTCTCCAGCTTTTTCTGTTTTTGTTTGAGATTGAACTGTGTGCTCAATTTTACGGTTATTATGCAGGTTATTCTGACATGCAGCACTTCACATGTTTCTGGGAATACACACACAATAGATCCTTTGACTGAAATGAAGTGTGGAAATATTGGTGTATTTTTGTTAACAAATCTCTGTACTGACCCTGATTGCTGATACTCTGCATCCATGAGAAAGCCCTGGATCTCCAGTTTCAGGTGGAGTTTCCTTTTATTCTGTTTCACATGAAGCAGCTAGAAAATGGCTGAGCAGAACCTCCAGGTTCATTCTCTATATCTTAGTCAACCTACTCAGAGATGTTATGATACACTCCTGAATTAGGTGGGATTTGAACCCATACCTTCCAGCACAGGGGTAAGGACAGTGCCAATGTGCCACAAGAGCCTTCTCAGGTTCATTATATTTTGCAGAAGCACGGCCACTCTGACATCTGGAAATATTGTCAATTGCAATCGAGTCAGGTAGGACTCAAACCTATAATCTTCTGATCCGAAGTCAAATGCAGTTTCCATTACACCGCTGGCCCATGCACAGATCTGATGACAATCAGCTCATTACCTTCTCTTAACTATTCAGTTGACTAATTATGTACTGAATCAGCTGGGTTAACTGCTTTGTATTGAAAACATGAAAGGAATACAACATTCCAAGTACCACACTTACTGGATGAAATCTTCTGAATCGTCAGCATTCCTCAAGATAATGCTGCTATTTATATATTTTAGGCAGGCAGTCTTTTCATTGTAAAGTAAAGAAATGAGCCATTTCTAACTGTTTCAGAATGTCATACCCCAGTTTGTACTCAATTAACATATTAATATTCTTACAAACCTTTTTATTAATCCTAGTGGCAAGAAGTTAGTGAATTTGAATCTCTAGGGCCAGTTTAAATGTAATTATCTGTGTGAGAAACTCAAAAAATAAGGTAGAACACTGATTTTACACCATACCAGTGGGAGCAGTTTTAACTTATATCCCTACTTAGGAAACTGATGGGATTCAATGCAAAATCTGAATGGACTGCAGATGCTGTAAATCAGGAACAAAAATAAAGTTGCTGGAAAAGCTCAGCAGGTCTGCCAGCATCTGTGGAGGAGAAAACAAGAGTTAACGTTTCGAGGAAGGGTCACCAGACCCAAAACGTTAACTCTGATTTTTTCTTCACAAATGCTGCCAAACCTGCTGACCTTTTCCAGCAACTTCTGTTTTTGTTCCGGGATGCGATGCAACGTTGGTTTCACACATGCCTGATTTTATACTGTATTGAAGTAATGTTGGATAGGGTGTAAACACAGCATTTCATCTGATTCTCTGGGCTTCTCTCTCCACAGAATGCTGCCAGACCTGCTGAGTATATTCAGCACTTTCAGTTTTAATTTAAGATCTCCAGCTGTCATATTATTTTTCTTTTGCAGATCATGAATGGCTCAGATTGTGAATAAATGTTAAATATTACAAACCTGTATTTTGGTCACTGATAACATCCTGATCTTGCATGTTCTTCATATTCAAAGAGCCTACAATTAATTGAGAGAGTAAAGATAATACCTTGTCTCGAATTTGCATTCATGAAAAATTTAATTTTCACAGTGAACATTTCTGTTCATTATTGATAAATGGAGAGTTTGAGGTTTCTATTAATGTAATATAAATTTTCTACATCACAATTGCCTACAAACATTTAACAAATAAGTGTAATTTACTTTGACACCTAGGAGGTAAAGCATTAACATACTGCAACAAAACTGTAAAGAGCGAAGCAATGGTTCAATCAGAGTAATTATGGAAACCTAACACAGTGACATAAACTATTGTCAGTATCTATTCAATCAGTACAGACCGTACAGTTAGCAGACCACGTCTGAGGGAGACATAGACTGTGTAATTAACAAATTTAGTTCATGTGGTAAGTTTCTTGTCTTTCTCAAGTTTAAATAAAAATTAAAAGTCAGACTCTGACATAGACCAAGTAACATTCAAGTAATTCAGATTACTTTGTTAAAGGGTGGGGGTAACAGTTAGCTAATTGGTGTTAGCTATTGTAGCAAGGGCCTGTTGTGGACTGAGACCCAGATTCAAGTCCCATGTATTCCAGAAGTGTGTAATAACATCTCTGAACAGGTTGATTGGAAAAACAGGTCAATAAAAAAAATTAGCTACTGTTAGCTCTTGTGACACAGTGGTAGTGTCCCTACCTCTGAGCTAGGAGGCCTTGTTTCAGGTCCCACCTGATAGAGAGATGTGTAATAACATCGCTGAACAGGTTGATTAAAAATTTCTTAACTGCTGTAGGGGGACTCTTGTGATGTAGGGGTAGTGTCCCTACCTCTGAGCCAATAGACTTAGGTATGAGACCCATTTGCTCCAGAGTTGTGTCATAACATCTCTGAACAGGTTGATTAGGAAAAAAAAAACTACTGTAGAAGGAACCTTACTTAGTCAGTGACTTATCAGAGGCTCAATAGAAAAGACAGGACTTTCAAATCACACAATCAGTGAGCAGTGTGCAACAGTTAGGAGGCTGTGTCTGAGTGAGATGTTAACTGACTTTAGTAGTGATTTTGGTTCATGTGGGAGTTCAGTGCATGGGTGAGAAAAAGGTGCTTTTATTAGTTTGCTAGTCAGACTTATCAGTATCTGTAAGGTTGTGCTCGTGTAATAATTGTAACATTTATTTGAATTGGATCTGAGCTGAGGGAACTGAATTGGTTGTGTGCAAAATAATTAAAGGTGGCTGGACATGTTGAGGGAGAAGTTAATAAAGCATACTGTGTCCAGAGCTGTTACAAAGATAAATTGATGAAACTGGGATTGTTCTCTTTAGAGTTAGAAAGAACTGACTAAAGCATTCAGTTTCAGGGAAGCAATGGCCTAGTGGTATTATCACTGGACTGTTAATCCAGAGACCCAGATAACATTGTGGGGACCTGGGTTTGAATCCTGCTACAGCAGATGGTGGAATTTGAATTCAGTCAAATATCTGGAATTAAGAGTCTAATGATGACCGTGAATCCATTGTCGATTGTCAGAGAAACCCATCTGGGTCACTAATGCCCTTTAGGGAAGGAAACTACCATCCTTACCTGGTCTGCCCTATATGTGACTCCACACCCACAGCAATGTGGTTGACTCTCAACTGCCCTCTGGACAATTAGGGATGGGCAATAAATGCTGCCTAGCCAGTGACACCCTCATCCCATTAATGAATAAAGTAAAAAAAATTCAACATGATGAGGAATTAACAATTACTAATGGGTCACCAGTTTGCCATGAGTTGGTACAGAACTGTATATTTGTAAATGCTATATATGGTGTCTGTTTAAAATATAAGAAAATAGCTGATGAACTCAGTGCTGTGTATTAAGCAATGGTCTAAAAGAGCAGGTCCAGACAATTACAGACTGCAGTAAAATTAGTTATTTTAAGAAACAGCTCACCACATTGCTCGCACAAAACAATCATATCATTAACCTTGTGAGTGTTACAGACATATTTGAGATTTTAACATTTGTATGTCTTTTTGTTCATATAAAATCAGGAAGTTTGAATTTCTTCAAGACTTTATTGATAGATGCCATTGAATAAAATTAAAGGAAAGAGTAGAACTTTTAAAAAATGTTCTTGATCTTTAATGTTCTTTAAATATGTATATAAAAAGGCAGTTGTCTTGCAGTTTATACTTAAGTCCTGATCTTCAATTGCAGTCCTCAAAAAGTTAAGCCACTATTCCACAGCTGAGATTATCCATTATCCAAAGTCAAAAGCAGGATTGATTAT